ACTCATTTAGTCCAGCTCAACCATATGGAAAAATTATTAACATATATGCAAATGAATCTACTAGCTATTCTACTCCATGATTTAGGTAATAGTGTTAAGTAGTTTAAGATGGAAGATAATGAATTGGCTCTTCCCAGTTTCAGGTCCTTTAGGTCTCTTTTAGGACAAGCACTTTGCTATGTTGAGTGTGATTCCAGTGTTTGAAAACACAGTAAGCATTTTTCACACAACATAGCCCCTAAATGCAAACCAACTTCATCTGGTTTTCAAACAGAACCAACCATCTGTTTCAACGCTGGAAGAAAAGTAGGTTGTGCTGAACTTATTATGACAGTACATTGATCTCCAATATGGTGTTCTCCTAAGAGACTTTCTAGGGTAACTGTGACTAAATGCCAGTTTTCACCTGCAATACTGACTTTAGAACTAGTTTAAGATAACACAGGTTGGAGAGAATGCCTGTGGATTTAGCTGGTTGAGGGAGTCCCAGACAAGACGATACCCTGAGGAGCTGGCAATTCTTATGCTTAATTCTCTCTCTTCTCAGATCTGGAGGCAGCCTTAAAGCTCTTGTACCTACCTGACCCTACTTTGTTTACTCAGCCTTAACCTTTTGCCTGCTCTTCCATTCTGCTGTTTCTAAAATTCTTACATAATGGGAAAAGGCAAATAGAGTAGCTATTTCCAGTGAAAACTCAATGAGCTATACTTATTAAACTGTTTTTAGTAACAATTATACTTTCTTTCTTTTTTTTGAGGTAGGGTCTCACTCTGTCCCCTAGTCTCAAGTGGAGCTGTGTCATCATAGCTCACTGCACCTTCATCTCCCAGGATCAAGCGATTTATTACCTCAGCCTCCCAAATTGCTGGGACTACAGGTGAGAAGAGGGCTGGCTCTGCTCCTGCTTTGACCTCCCAAAGTGCTGGGATTACAGGCGTGAACCACTGCGCCCAGTCCTCAATTATATTTTCAAAAAATACTTGTAATGTCCTGACTGCATAATTAAATTCTATATCCCAGAGGATCTACATCTTCTTTTAATCTTGCTCAATTCCTACTAAGACATACTGTGCAGTAAACCAAGTCTCCCATTTCTGCATAAGTCCATTAAAACAGAATGCAGCTGAACAAAAGGGAAAGTATCTTCTCAGAAATACTAGTACCGTGTGCTGTCTGCAAAACAATGAGCTCACACCAGATTGTAACTAAAACCAATACTCGATGCGGACAGCTCCTCTTTTCCACAGGTGTAGGGGGCCCTGTAGGGATTCACAGACTCAAGTAATGTGGAAGCCAAGAAAGTCCTGCCCTCTGCTGCTGAGTTAAGGAACTGGCCTCGGCACCGCGAAAGGACCCTACACTCCGGGTAATCTGGGAAAGTCAAGAGAGCGAAGTAAACCCTCTCCCGGATTTAGCTCCCGGACAACCTAATTTTTAACAGGTTAAACACGCCGACATTCAAACGCCAAGTAAAGCAAATCAGGTTTCAAAACAGGAAGTTAAGTTTTTCATTACTTCTCTCAAAGTTGGAGAAGTGACCGCCCTGGGCGGTCGTGCTGTGGTTGCGCGCGGGGGCAGTCCGGGGCAGGACGCCGCTTTCTCCGCTGCACGCGCACAGCCGCTCGGCCGGGGGCCATCGGTCGTCACAGCCCCTGCTCTGCAGGTCCCGCCGCGAGTGTGGACGCTGGGGGACGGGGGAAGGAGTTTACCTGGGGCCGGTCCCCACTAGGTAGGTGTTGGTGCCCTGCAGGGTCATAGGACCCGGGTTACAGCCCAACACACGCACCACTCGACTGGACAGTCGCTCGATATGCTGCAGCACGGCAGCCATCTCCGCCTCAGGGTCCCGCCGCTGGCGAAATCCACTACCGTGGGGAAGAACCAAGCAGGCCGCGGGTCGGGAGCCGCGATCACGTAACGCAGCGTGAGGCCGGAAGGCGGGGCAGCCGGGGGGGCGTGGCCAGAGGTCACGTGGTGCCCCGCTGGCTGCTCAGGCAGAGGCGGGAAGGCTGGCGCGTGGGCTGAGGTGGCGTGAGGCGAGGCGGCCGTCCTGCCCGGTCAGAGCCTGGGGTGTGTCCAGGCGGGCGAGTGCATCCAAGCGGACCGGAGGCGTTTTAACCTGCAAGTCTTGTGAGGGAGCAAGGGGCAGAAAGGTTCGGGTCAGTAACTGAGAGCTAAATATTACTGGTAATCATTGCCCGTCAGGTTTTTGCGCTCTGGCGCGGTGCGGGTGTGAGAGGTAGCCGGTTTATCTTTTAAGATAAATAAAAAGATAAATAAATAAATAGTAAATAGTGGTAATTAAAGTTTACTTACCGCTGACAGCTGTGCTAAGCGCCTTCTGCAGAGGTCTCATTTAATACTAAAAACAACACGAGGAGGTAAACACTCTTTTTGTCGCTATTTTACAAAGGAAAACGGAGATTGGGAAATTAACTCAGGTGACAGAGTGGCCGGCTGTCCCCACCTGCCCTGCCCCGGCGCTTGCCCGGCTCCCTCGGTGCCGCCCGCCTGCCCGCGGAGCCGGGGTGATCTGGAGTTTTGTGCCCGAGGTGAAAGAGACTTAATTTTTCTGCAACAAGCCCTTTTCTAATAGGGTATTAACTACCCCGGAATTAACTACCACTTCCCATGAAAACGTTGAGATACAAGTTACCTGAAAGGCAATCTACAGATCCTGATATCAGTTCCTTGGCGTTACCGGTTACAATGGTAGTCACCTTCACCCCAAAGGGAGGTGGAACATACCCTCTGTGCCAACCCACTCTTAAAAAAAAATACAGGAGGAACTGACATAGTGGACGCTTGGTTCTAAAATTCAGGATAGATATTTTTAGCGCTCTTCTGCAGGTATTTCTGAAGGAGAGACTATCTGCTATTCATTGATTTTATAAACCAACAGCTTAAATATTCCGAATTGGTTGAGTGACACCTGCCTTTGTTTCATAAAGATAATACTTTTAATAGAAAAATGTTTAAAGACTGTTGCTGAAATAATAATATAAACTGTCCCCTTTGCCATGGGAAGTTAAGCAATATATTCTTCAAAAATGCTTGCAGTTGGAGTAATCAATATCTACATCACATAGTCCTAGCACTTTGGGAGGCTGAGGCAGGACGCTTGAAGCCAGGAGTTCCAGACTGGTCTGAGCAACATATAGTGAAACCCCCTCGCTATAAAAAGTAGAAGTATTAGCTGGGTGTGGTGGTGTGTGCCTGTAGTCAGCTCCTTGGGAGGATGAGCCGGGAGCATCTCTTGCGCCTTGGAATTTGAGGGGAGCTGTGATGCCATTGTATCATAGGCAAAAAGTGAGACCCTGTCTCAAAATATATATTTCAGGCATTTTAGCCTACCAATATGTGTCTATGGTAGCCATTAACTAATAGCCATTCAGGTAAGAAGCTTCCTCCATCTTCCCTTTTAAAAATTCTGTTGGAAAGTTAGTGAACCCTGGAGAAGAGGACAGAGTAGTTCTTTCTTTTTCTTTTTTTTTTTCTTTCTTGCTATGTTGCCCTTAGTAGAGTGCTGTGGTGCCCCAGCTCATAGCAACCTCAAACTCTTGGGCTTAAGCAATTCTCTTGCCTAAGACTCCTGAGGAGCTGGGACTACAGACACCCACCACAATGCCTGGCTATTTTTTTGTTGCATTTGTTTAGTTGACCTGGGCCAGGTTCAAACCTGCCACCCTGGTGCTATGGGCGCTGAGCCAGAGTAGTTATTTCTTGACCATACTGCCCTTTCTGAGACTCTGGGCAGCTCCTGTCTCTTACTCTTTTGCTTTTGTTTGAAATTAAAATTTCATTTGTGCTTTCCCTTTTGATTTCATTATTTAATTGCCAGGCTCCTCATTTGGCAGATGAAGAAATGAGCCCCCAAATGATTTAAAAGTTAAGTGACTTGTGTAGGGTTACATAAGGAGATACTAGTGGAAGACCATAAATAGAGCGTAGATAGTGATTATGGTTTGAACAAGTTGAAATCGAAGTGATTGTGGTACATCCAGACAAAGAAATCTATAGACAGATATATGGGCTGAGCTCAGAGGATGAATCTAGGCAACAGATACAAAATTAAGTTTTTGTGGATATATTTAGCAATGTGACTTGAAGTTTAAGTTCCTCTACAAGAAATAAGAGCAAAGATTTTTACATTCTGCTTGGTTATACTTGCAATCATTTATTATTTACCTAAAATGTGCCAAACATTGTTATTAACACATTGATAAAGTATTAAAAATGAATAAAATAGTCTTTGTTTTCTTTTTTTTTGAGACAGAACCTCAAGCTGTCCCCTTGGGTAGAGTGTGGTAGCATCACAGCTCACAGCAACCTCCAACTCCTGGGCTCAAGCGAGTCTTCTGCCTCAGCCTCCCAAGTAGCTGGGAC